ATTGACGGTTTTGAAGAGCGAAATCGTGCCGCCGCTAGGGTATGCCGGAGAAGTATGGGAAGGAAATAAGAATGTCGTGAAAGAACTCGAGGCGGCGCAGATGAAAGCAGCGAAAATCATCCTAGGATGCTCCACGCGCACAAGTAATGCAGCCGTGAGGGCAGAATTGGGGATCCAATCCCTACGGTCGGGAAGAGACGCGAGGAAGCTGACCTGGCAGTATCGCATGTGCGGGATGGGAGAGGAGAGGTTGCCGAGAATCGTATGGGAGGCGAAGTGGGCAAACAAAAAGAGGGGTAGACAACCCACGGAATGGGTCAAGGTTGTAGAGGACGTATGGAAGGGGCTCGACATCGACGAAGATGAAACGCTGGAAACGGAGGGTCTACAGGGGTTCAAGGAGAAGATATCTGTTGCTTGTGCCGAGAGAGAACAGAGTGTAAGTAAAGAAACCAAGGATAAGGAGGGTCTGGAAGTGTACGGAACGTCGAAGGAAGGAATAGGGTTCATAGACTACCTACATGGACCAATAGATGCAGGAACAAAGCTTAAGGTCAAATTCAGGACCGGGGACATAGGCCTTCGAGAACGTCGACGAAGACATAGGACGGTAGACGAGGAAGACGACGAGTTCAAATGTGATTGCGGCTTCGAATGCGAAGACCGTGTTCATGTAGTCGCGGAATGTCCGTGGTACAAGAAGGAGAGGGAAGTGCACGTGACTGAGCTGGGAAAAATAGATAGGACGTACAGGGAGATGTTTGAGGCATGGAATAGAGAGGAAAGGACGGTAGCTGTACTGGGGCATAGGAGGTGGGTTGAAAGGGCGGAAAGGGATATCATTAGGATAGACAGACTAGGCAAGACATTTTTGAGCCACCTTTGGCAGAGTAGAAAGGAGCGATTGGCTATCGGTGATGGGTCCTGTGGGAACAATGCTCCGTCCTCTCGAGGACGCGTGGTCAATGGTCTAACCACTAGGGCATGCAAAACATAAGAGTCCGCCCCCTACCCCCGTGAGCGAGCGCCCGACCAAGATGTCGCGGACGGCTTACTTACCCCCTTTATGGCACCAACCCAAGGCGGAGATGCCATGCAGCAGGATCATCGAGTTCCGCCGCGCCACAGGCCGCCAGGAAGCGAAGCAGAGATCGAGAGGAACCGTAGAGTTTGGTTTGGTTGAACCCATCCCATCCCGTTCCGTTGAAAGGAGCACGGGGACAACGCCACACAGATGCCGTGGCGCCGTGCAGTAAACGAAAACGAAAAACACGACAGAAACCGAGCAAAACGGAGCAGAGAAGAGCAGGGACATTAGTCAACAACAAGACAAAAAAGAAAGCAGATGCAAAGGGGGGATGCTTTCGGCGAGACACACTCTGCCACGTTCCCAACAAGAAGCAAGGCGTAAAAGCAAATATCGATCAAGGCCAACGGGCTCCACTACATCTGCACCTTCAATGCCACTTGCTCCGTTGTACACTCGTCCGGAAAAACCTACGACAGCTCTACCTAGATACCCTCGCGCTGCATACAAAGGGCTCTCTTAAAAGTTGTGGTCCGTCACAGCTGCTGTTGAAAAATTAGGGGGGGGGGGCGCAGCGGCTTCGTTTATCCTACGCTAGCTTTGCCGCCGACATGCTTCAATAAAACGCAATCCTTCTCCCGCCGCGAAATCCCAAACACGCACGAGGCCTGGAGGATCGACGGAGGCGATGCCAGCGGGGGTACGTGTCCACACACGGCCCCGAGTTCGTTCGCCGTAACGTGCATCCATCCTACTCGAGGCACCTTTACACGCACAGATGAGCCCGGGTCGATGACACTACATCACATCTTGCACCAAATCACTCTTCAACACGACGCTTTTCAAGCACGAGAATAGGCACACGTACCTTCCCGTCATGCCTGCCCCCCCCCCCCCCCAACGCCAGTGCATATGTACACGATACCATTAAAACAATGCTTTGCTTTCACGGCTCGAGACCGCCTGTGGTCTCGATCACGTCGGCTATGATCATCTTTGCAAACGAGCAACGGAGAGCACAGGCGCCTTCGGCTACGCACCGCTTTGCCATTGATGCCCCCGCTGCCCCCGCCGGCTTCGCGGCCCGGTTGGCCAAACCCTCCCCTGCAGGCTTAGCCTGTGGCGTTGTCGAGGCGCCAAGAGTTAAGGAGGTGCCGAAAAACCAACACACAACGGCAGTGGACACAAGACAACAACACGAGCGGGCAAGAGGAATGGTTTGCGTTGATAGGGAACGAGCACAGGAGAAAACAAACAGACAAGAAAAGGGTTTTCAAAAGACCGGAAGGATGTGAGGACGTCGCCGTGGAAGGATGGCAAGAGACAGGTCACGCCAAGTTTGGAGTGTCCGGTGTTCGATTTGACGGGTAGTATGATACCGCCCCGAGGGCCTGCAAGCGAGACACACACGAACAAACGTACAAGAATCCAATTTGTCTTTCGCGCAAAATCCACAATGCAAGTAATGTAGCGTTATCAAGAAATAAATGACATACAAGGGGTGCCAGTGGTCACCACATGAACGTACTTGTGCACATGCTGCCGAAAGGAAACACGTGCAATGACCATAGCATAACATGATCGTGGTCAAACCATCTGTTTGGGCGATGGTCTAACCGGACTCGACAGCGATGTACCACATCGGGGGTGAATCATGCACTTTGTAGAGGGACAAGGAGGGATGGGTTTGGCTTCTAAACGAACCGCAATCTAGGGGCGAGGAGGAGGAGGCAACAAAAAAGAAGAAGGTGCTGGGTGTTCAAGTGCTTGTTGATGAGTTCCTGTGGTGAAATCTTGCATCTTGCTGATCCTTGTGGTGCACAGCAATTTTGCCGTGGCGGTGGCGTATCCGCACGAGTCTCGCGCACTACAAGTAGATATAAACCAAGACTGACTCGAGGCGTGCAAGTTTATTCGTCGAGTTCGAATGCGAAACTGTGCTCTCCTGGTTGTGCTAGAGCGCAGGGACAACACAGAGAGACGCGAAATAATAAATGAATACATGAAAAACTCTCGGCCCTCGCGCAAGAGAAAGGGAGAGGGTAACATGCCACGACATGACATCCTCTTCAAGCTCAACACAAAAACAGTAGCACACAAACGGCGGTTCACCGGCTCGAATTATTGGGCGATGGAAGAGTATCAATACGCAAGGGCTGACGTATGCAAAGGGCGGTCTCTTGAGCAAGCGGAACATGCCCGCTGTGCGACGGCTGAGCAAGGAGTCTCAAGTCTTCCACCCCAAGAAGGAGAAGTGCGGTGCGGACGGAAACAAACGGCGTAGTGCATGCGCGCTAGAAGGAAGCATGATGGCCACGCTGTCACCACCGCTGCCATGCCGAGCCAAAATACTTCTTCCGACATACGAGTGTGTCCTTGGAAGTCAAGAGGCAAAAAAAACGAGCAGAACGATATCAAAACACATACAGAGCGACCCTCCATTCCTTCGAAACTGCCACCGCAGAGAAACAGACTGGACACATGCAGTGAACACGTGGTGGGAAGAAACACGTGGCATGTACAACCAGCCAGAGTCTGATCTGAGGAGAGCTGACGAAACAAAGAAAACGCCGCCCCCCTACTCTCCCCTGTCGTGCTGCCGGGTTCATCTAAACAGAGGAAGCACCGCCGACATACGACTCTCTCCTTCGAGCGCCTGTGTGTGTGTGTGTGTGTGTGTGTGTGTGTGTGTGTGTGAAACTACAAAAAAAGGTTGCGGTCGTTCTGTGTACAACAAAGCGAAGGTTTAGGGTCGTTACAGCAGTAGTTCCTCGGCGTCATGGTTTCCACCCATCTGTCCTTCTATCTTTCACGGGTGCGGCTTATGTGCACGCGCACGAAAGCGGATACAATATGAAAGGCAGATGGTTTCCCTCGTTTTGTTGTCCTCTGCAACTGAGGATCGATTTGGCTGGCCGCCCGCATTTGATGGTGCTCCATTTGCTCAACGCACTTCGGGCAAAAACAAAAACATGCCTGTTCTTCCCTGACAATTTGCCCATGTAGTCATCGTCTCAACATTGCCACAGCAGTACAGCGTGGCAGATACAGACAGACGGCATCGTCGGCTCTCCCTCTCCCAATCAGCGGCCGCGGACGGTTTCTCGAGAATGGAAACATGGGGATGGAGAGAAACGTTCGATCATCCTCAAACGTCAGCTTCGGAAAACGCATAGGGCGTCCAGCCGTGTTGACCGACACATAAAACAAGCGCTTACATTCGCACATCCATCTACATATGCATGCCAAAAAGGTGGAATCGTTCATGGCTCTCAAGGTCGGCCGGATCGAACGTGCAGCGGGAGGAAAGGTGGTGTGGGGACGGTCGTTGCGCTACTCGACGAGGGAGTCGTGGGCGTGCTCTTCTTGTGCCCGGCCAGAGGCGAGAGGCGAACGGGAAAGCGTTCTTGTCACCTGGCGCTCTTTGAAAAAAAAAAACGCACATGTACTGTCCTATAAACAAAGCGCCCCTAGCGACCATTCCAAACGTCTAGACCGGACGAAACGGCATCAAGAACGGGACCGCGGGAAGGATTGTGTACAGCAGTGCCTGTCCTGGTGGCGTCGTGGGGATTGTCTCTCCTCGCCAGCTCCGAGGAACAAATCACTACAGTATCTAGCATGCGAGTCGACATTGGCCATATTAAATTGGTCTGAGTACATATGCTGCGCGTGGGGAACGGGGGGGTTTGTACTTCGCCGGAATCTTCGAGAGCACGGCACAGCGCCTTCTTCCAACGACCAGGCGACACAAGGCAGGCGTCCGGTACGAAAACAAGTCGCCACGGCTGTCTCATCGCCTGAAGCTGCCAATACTGGCAGAGGGAGAAAGAGACAGACAGAGAGAGAGAGCACTAGCTTCCACATGGCATAGGGTAACGGTCGATCACCGGACACAACCGATATCCAAGATACCCTCTCTACCCAAAGGTGTTTGTGGTCAATGGTCTGACAGCTACGGCATGCAAAACATGCTTGCGCCCCCCGCCCAAGGGTGTTTATAGGGTGCCTGTTGGCTGTCATCAGTGCTACGGTATCTACGCGACCCTGAGCGTTTGGGATGAGTACACTAGCGATGGCCGCCCACTCATCAGATAGCGGCAAAGTCCTGTCTCTCTTCACTGACAAGAGTGAGGCTGACTCGAGATGACATTGATGGTACTCAAAAATTTTGCGCATTCGAGGCAGACCCGAATCAGCGCGTACTTGAGAACGGAGAACTCAAGAGAGATTGGTGAGTGTCAACTTTCGCAGCACTTGTGGGGATTATGATATAAGGTAAAGGGTGAACATAGTCCTGAGGACAGGCGAACATGTTAGCACCCGGTTGAGAGGATGCTGAAACCGTGCAACGGGAGACGACACTGTTGCTGCACAACATCCTCTAAAATAGGACCGTGGCACCAGGGGGGATAGGAAAACTGCAGTGCGGGCTGTGTGTGTGGCATTTAGCGTACAGGTGGGCGTTATGTCAAAAGTGTGCCGCGGATTCACGCGGTATAGTAGTACAAGCGATGGGATTTTATTGGTGAACGATGAGAGTACGTAAGATTCCTGGAATATACACGTAGAAAGGAAACTCAGCGGCAGGGAACTTGGGACGTGTTTCCAAAGAAGGGAACAATCGAACAATCCCCAACCCTCCTCACCACGGGTACACATCTATGCCGCATACGTCCAAGTGCGAGAGAGAAAGCGAAACCCCACGCGAAAACATCGAAAGTAGAAGTCACCTCACGCTAGAGCCTCTGTTTCATGACAACCGAGAGCGTGAGGGCCGCGGAAAGCTTTTTAGGTTGTCTTGCGGAGCACAGCAATCGAGTGCCCGAGGCTCCGGAGGGTTTGGTCCGCGTGACTTAGATGCTGTTATGAAACAATACCCGTACGCCACTGCCGCCGCCGCTTTGACGTCAGGCTGCCCTGCCTGCACCCTCCCACACCACATAAGGTCGATCAAGGCACAGCAGTACCGTCGAAGGTAACGGACAAGCACAGGAACCAGCTAACGCCCTGCCGACGCCAGCTGGGCGGCAGCGTCCATTTCCGATGTCCCGATGTGTGTCATCACCGAACCGGCTGCTGTGTCGTGCAGAGAACCGAGGAGAGAGCTCTTTCGTTGTTGCTGCACAGGCAACAGAGCTGGCATGCCGATCAAGTGCACACACACAAACACCAGCTAGCAGAGCAGCAGGACCTGGAGCCAACTCTGTCGCTAAGTTGTTGTTGCCGAGCTTGATGGTATGGTATTCCGCGGTAAAGGGTGTGTGGTTGCCCGCCGTTGCTCCCCAAACGATACTAACACAGCAGGTGGTGGGTTGTGGTTTGTGGTACCAACAACGTGCATGCACAGGGCCGCTCGCTGTGCCAACAGCATACCACTGCTGTCCAACGTAAACCTTTGGCCTCGCTTAACCCTGCTGTGAGGTCGTCAGTAGGCTCCCCCTTCTTCGAGCGGAGGACTCAGGGAAAGCGAGGACCGCCCACAGGCGCCGTCCACACGCGAGCAGCACCAACAACCCCGCGATAGAAGGAGTAGATGCACACACAACAGACGCCTTCCCTCACCGGCATGGTTTTGCTTTCCTCCGTACCCAAGCAAAAGCTGGCTGCTAGGGCTGGGCTTCCTTAAATCGCTCTCACACGCTTCTCCTCTCCCTATCCAGCTTGTTCTTCAAATGGCTCGTAACGCCTAAGCTTGTTGTGCAGCAGGTTCGCGTCGACGGCTGATTGGGCAAGCCCCCAAGAAGGATACCCCCCCCCACAATGCGAAAATATGTTTTTGCCCCCCCCCCCCGGTCATGACGTCGTGTCCATGTTCTCGTGCAATGGCTGTCCTTTTCAATTCTGGCACGGCCAGGGACGGCTAGAAACTGCTGTGCAGCTCTTTCACCGAGGTCGACTTGAAAACTTATCTACTTTCTGAATGAAATATATACTCTGCCTGTGTAGGCGACGTACTTAGTAGTAGTTGTTGTTGTTGTTGTTGTTTCTCACATTAGCTTCATCGCACTTAGTGTGCTGTGCTGTTTCCCCAAGACACTATTTATTTATTTTTTCTCCATCATTGGACGCTGTCGTCTGCCGCTCTGGCCCCTATCTTCCACTTCTACTAGCTAGACGACCCAAACTATAACCTGTTCCGGAGAGCGGAAAATATTCGGCGTGCTCCCACATGGATTGCACAGGGGAGTTACTCCGTATCTGGCATGTATGGTAAAATGTAGATGACAGAATATTTGACGCAGGACGTACTCCGTTATAGAATAGCGTTCCGCCGCTCTTGGTGCCACTCACAGATAATACTTCATCTATCTCTTGCTTTTGTCCTACTTCTACCTGGCTTTTTGCACGTGCACGTGGGTACACACCAATACCACAGCTAGCTGCTGAATCAGCATTCCCTCCCCCCCTCACCGACAGTGACAAAGTTTCGAATAGAAAAACAGCCTACCTAGTGCCACACAACGCTCCTACAGTTGCTCCATACCAACAGTAAACTGCTCCGCGGAGGTTGAGAAGTTGCTGTCCAACAAAATTGGCGCCTACAGCAGATGGGGCGAAAGAAAAATCAATCCTTATCCTTCGAACGTAGAGAGAAAACGAACAGCAACTGAGGACGACCCCCTGTAGCGGCTGTTGTGATGATTAGGGTGGGGGCTCATCACATGCCGGGCGCCGGGTGGTACCGAAGCGCCTCTTCGCCCTCCCAGGAAAAGGTAACTCCCCCAGACGCGGGAGGTTTGAATCTTCTCTTGAACCACTTCGCAACTACGCGTGCGGTCTTTTCCATTTCTCGACCAAACACCCTCGAGCCACTTCGGGAACACACTTACAGTGAGGCAGTCTGTTGTCTTTAGATTAGTGTTCGACTCCACTAAATACTTTGGTAGTGGTCAAAAGATCCGTCAAATGTTACGAAGGAAAGAATAAACACCAACAACAAGAGCATACTGGTTGGTAGTACACAAGGATGAGCCCTCGTGTGCACCATGGGAGTTGATGTGCCGGACGGAATCAACGACAAAAAGGCCCACAAAAAAACACAACAAAACGAAAAAAAAAAATCAGGCACCATGAATACGGCAAAACAGCAGTGAGCTACTTTGACCCGATCATGACAGGTCGGCCAAAGCCGCGGTTTGTCTCAGACGCTCGATGATCCCGTGAAGCGCCCTGTTCTTCTTCAGCCCAGACACCTGTTCCATTTCGCACGTGCACCAACCGTTACGTTCGTGATGCGCGGGTGAGCAACGGTGCGTTGCAGTGATCCAACAGAGAACGACGAACGTCTGACAACAAGCTCACACACGCAGATACGCGGATAGGCGCACAGAAAAGACAGTCAGAAAGAAAGACAGCAAGGTGAGCCCTACCTACACAGCTTGCCCGTTCGCACAGCGCACAGTCACCGACCCCTCAGAAACCCTTCTTTGATTATCTACGGTCACCATATGTTTCATTTCTCCCCCCTGTCCGTCCGAGGTCAATGGTCTAACGACTACGGCATGCATTCTCTCACCAGGGACCGGTGTGCGCCGAGCATTTCCTCGTACCCCTCCGCTCCGGCCATGCAGTCACGGAGCGACTCCTCGTACTGTTCCTCGTACACGCCCCGCGAGAGCACTCTTTGCACCGGGGAGTTCCTCAAGAACTCGCAAAACCCTAGCCTGGGGGCGCCGTAGATTGTGAATGAAGGGGGGGAGGTTCAATGGGCGGGGGGGGCTCGCAGGATAGGATTAGAGGGCGTAAGAATCACAGCGTGAGATAGCTATGCAAATATTTAGCTTGGATACGTCGGGCTTCATATTGAGTTCGTGCATTCGAAAAACATATTCCGCCCGAATTCGTTTTTATGAAGTCTGGAAACCGAACGATAAACAAACCCTAACTTGAAACATCACAATTTGGTGTTTTTCCCGGCCAAACAGAGCCAAAAATGACTATGCTGAGATTCGCGAATCAGATTTTTCAAACATTGGTAAACCGGACTCTAAGGTTGCCCTTCGTTCCGGATGAATCTAAGCGTGCTCTAAGGATCCAGCCAGTATCTGCCGCACGCGGCCATCTTTGGGGGTGGTGCACGCTCTGCAAACATGACGTCGAACACGAAACACGCACCAGTCATCGAGCTGTGATCGAGATATTCTAAGCGTGGACTCCTCCGGCGGGTTGACGTCGGGCGAGTCTATCCACACCGTCAGCATGAAGCGCTCGGCGTTGCACGGGAGCACCCTGTGCAGCACGCGATCGCTCCGAAATATGACCTGCATGCAAGAAGAACACACGAGAGAAGACAACGAAAAAAAAATGAGCGGGTAGGGTACATACAGTTTGGCAGCGGTGACGAGAGATAATCACGGCCACTACTGCTGTTGCCTTAGTCCGAAGAGGGTAGGGCAATAATCGACATGTTTGAGGCAACACACTACAAAGCTTGTGCCCCGTAGCCTGTTGAGCAACGGGTGGAGGCTGTGTGGCGGGGCAAGGTCGGGGGCAACGTGAGCATCCCTTGTGACAAGAGTCCTCGGTCGTCTTGCACCATCTCCGGCGAGGCCGTGCAAAAAAACAGCGGGTGGTATGGGGAGCGGCGGCCCGGTGAAAGGCTATAAGGTCGTTACTGCGCACGAATAATCCGTGGCGCGGCACGTTTCAGAGCAGGCGACGACCTCTGCACGGACGGACCCACTGTTCTCGGAAGTTTCCACCTAGAACATTGAGCAGCTGCATCCCTACCCCCAATGGGGGACGGATGATCCACCTCATAAGAGACGAGTAGTGGTTCACGGTCAGAGCAACAAATTGATCCACCTTCCCTGCTCCACACCCACCAGACGGTCGAGCAGAGGAGCTATCGCCTCCTCTTTCTGGAGAAACGGCGTAAGACAAACTTCCCCTCCGTCCCCTTCCTTCCAGCTCGGGTTCAGGTACAGGAGGCAGGTCAGCGCCCGCTTGTTCGGAGGACCGGGATTGTCGTAATGCAACGGAAAGCAGCCCCCTGAACCTTTTCGAGGTTGGGTTGGTGAAAGCAGGCACGGCGTGACAGGTTTGCCGAGGGAAAGAAAGGGCATTTGTGGTGTACCGCCGTAGCATGTCGGACTTCCACCGACCAGGGTAGCTTTGAGTTAGGGTCGCGAAGTACCTCCAACACGAAGGCCAAGGATATGCCGTTTCAGACGCACAGCTGTGCGCGCGTGAAACAAACAGGCCGCCAGATGAACCGCGGCTGTGGCCTCAACCAGGGCGCGCTTTAGCAAATGAGGGGAATAAGCCAAAAACAAATCGCGTTTTGACATCGCCCACGGCTCCACCAAACAGCGCCGTTGCCTCCCAAAAATCCACACATGTGCCGCGGGAAAAAACACGGTAGCAAGATGCCCCTACTCTCGCGTTGGAGAGTCCACCGTCACCTGCCAAGTACCACCGCCGGACTCCGTCGCGGTACTGCACCATAGCAACACAAACCGACCACGCGCGCCCCCGAGTAACCGGCCCGCAAAAGAAGCGCCCCAACACAACAACGCATAGCCCCTACACTCCCTGTAGGAAATAATCAACCCTCAGCGTTCCGCAACGTCGCAACAGACAGATGGTCCTTTCGTGCAGTCCTGCGCACCTGCGTTCCGTTGCAGCTTCAGAGTCCTCCCTTGAGTGCCGCGCGCGAGCCTCAAGCCTTCGGGAAATGCGGCCGCCAGGGCCTCCACGAGCGCTTCTTGGTGAAACAGGGCGTTCATCTCCGGCAGCCTTCGTGAGTGGTAACATAGCGTTCATGCGCCACACGGGCCATGGTTAGGGATAGCAAGCAGGGGGGTGTTGTGGGAATGTTCAGTTGTCCTCCCGTTCATAGTCAATGCTCAGTAGCTGCTCATGAATCGTAGTTGGCGTAACATATGTCGGTTGGGATGTAACGCATACGAATGAGGGACAATTCTGGTCGGATAATAGGGGGGGGTTGTGAGGCTTGCCGTTGATGGCGCCGTCAATTGGCGGCAATCTTGTGGCAGCCATTAGGTAACAAACAGCTGGGTATGGGGTGCTGCTGCTCGCAGAGGCACCTCGCGACACGGAGACGTTTGCGGCCGTCGGGGAGGGGGTTCAGGGTGGTTTCTTGTCGAATGAGCGGCGAAATCTTAATCTTCCACGAATCGGAATTGGTACCGAAGACCACACACAGAAGTACGCACAGAAGCAGGGGGCGGGGGCGGGGTGGGGCATCTGCTGATTTTTCAGGGCGCTGCACGCGCATCCGGTTATACCGTACCACGATACGTCCCAACGAAGTGTTTCAGGACGTTCCGACCGATCTCAAAACTACGTCATAGTAACTATTTGCGTACCACGGCGACCTGAGAGTCCCGCGGCAACAACAGCGGTAGAATCGGAGTTGGCGTGTATGGTAGCTAAGACAACTAAATACCACCTTTCTTCTAATATTTGGTCAAAAGGAGGGTGATGGTAGTGAGTAGGACGGGGACGGGACGGGACGGGACGGAACGGAACGGGGGACGGCTGCTCCTGGAATACGGAACGGAAGTCGGCAAATTAACTCACCTGTTGCGGATGGATTCATCATGCAGGTCGACTTCGAAGATGTTGGGCTTGGAAAATTGCAGCCGCTGCCCGTTCGGGTGCGAGAACTGTGTCTCGTTCGGCCGCATCAGCCTGCCAGACAGCAGTGGGGCGGAGAAAGGGACCAGCGGGAGCGCAAGCACGAGGCAAAGGAGGCACATCAGCCGCTACCCAAGCACAACTACAGTTAGCGCTCGCAATTAAGAAATACTAAAAAAAAAAAATTAGGCTTACTTTTCCACGAAAAATACGAAAATAGGGCTAAGAAACATAGCTCAAGCTGGGTCTCCCAATAAGAAATGTCCAATAAGAAACAGCGGCGACCGCTTGCCTACTACATAAGAAGCAAGGGGTTTGGGGGGAGTGTGTCGAATAAACAACACCCCACAGCTCCTCCTATCGCTCCCTCTTTCCCCCCGCTCCCACTACCCCCCCCCGCTCCCATAGTGCATTTTTATTATAGATGTACGACGAGGGGGGAGGGGGGTGCCCATTCCGCCCCCCTGCCCGCTATGGCGCTCTCTGGCGTTCCGGCTCTGGCACAGCACACCAGACAGGCTGCAAACAGCGATATGCTGTCTGCTGTACGGTGTTGATGGTGCTCTCCGCCAGCTCTACCTCGTGAGGGCAAATCGTTTGTTTAATTTGAACGTTGTGCAATGTAGTAAGCAAGAAGAGAAATAAAAAATTGCCGAATTTAGAACTTCAGCAGGGTTTGGCGGCACGAATAAATAAGAAACTTGACACAAGAAATTGAACGACATTCGATGAGTTTATAGCCCGCAATAATTCGAGGCTGAACCTGAAATGCGGCCGCTAACTGTACAAGACGGGCTACTTTGTGGCCTCCCGCAAAACATAAATCTTGATCTTGTGAGCGTGTACCGTTCTAGCTGAATGCTTGCGAGATGCGTGTAGCTAACCTGGTCGCGCTCACGATCAAACTCCAACAGTCGGAGAAGAAGAGACAGATTTCAATATGTCATGAGAAGGCTGGTCGGGACAGCCAGTCATCCTCTGTTGAGGTTGCCAGCCTGTACAGACCGCCTTTCTCCAAAACTACAACACCGGGGCCACGCTTGGGCAACCCAAACCCAACCCACCCTTGCCCATGCAGCCAGCGCATCTCTTGGAGCAGCGCCAGAGCCCATCCCCGCCCCAAGAAGTTGTCGATCACGACACGGCCGTCCCTCTGGAGATCCCGCAATCTAGTCGGGATTAGCTGGTCGCGAAAGCGAGTGAGGCAGCGCTCAAAAGGTTCTCGGTACACCTCGTCAAAGTTGGCCATGCCGCGCCGCACCGATCGAATCGGGCGACGTCCTCTTCAGAGCAAAAGAGATACAACGACACGCACAAGAGCAGCGGCGTCAGGAGATCACATCAAATAACAGCTGCGAGTGAGGGGCAACGGCAAAAGCGTTTTTTGATACGCAGACAGGGTCGGGTTAACCCCTTTGGGTCTACCTCTTTTTTTTTTTGCGGCAAAAAAAAAGGAAGGAGAGGGTGCGGGGAGAGACAGAAGTACAGCAGAGAGAATACGATTGTACTTCTGTAGACGCAACAGCTATCTCCACCCATAGGCCATGAGGGCTGCCCGCGACAGAACGGTGGACACAGACAGGATCATAGAAGGGTTGATGCGTGGTCGCGGTGCGGCCAGTAGCGCAGTTTAGGCTTGTAGACCTCGAAAAGATCAGTCGTCAAGCCGCCTGAACTACTTTACTTTCAGTATATTCAACTGATGTGTGAAAATGATCAGTGAGAGGGCTTGTAGACCCATAGCTGGTTCTTGTACTTCTGTACTTCTCTGTCCCCTCCCCAATGTGAGCCCTGCCGGCTCACTACAGCTCCTGTGATTTTCCCACAATTCCCACAAGCATGCAAGCACACACCAGCACACACCTACCTTTGCATCCGTGGCTCTCTCTCGAGGTTCGGGCGAGGGTATGTGTGGGGCTATGCTGACAGTGTACGTGCTACTACCTACTCTGCTGTAAATGTTGGACTCGTCTATACGGCTGCTGCTGTGTAGAATAGCCGCTGACATGATGACTGTGCTGGATCTTGGGAGTGCACGATTTATTTGGAGGATATGCAGCATACCACGATATCCTGGCCTGTTTGGGCTTGAAGTGCCCCTTTTCGCTGTCCTCCTGTCTTTGCTTTAGTGGCTTCCTAGATTCGGGCGAGGGCATGTATGTGGAGCTATTGATGGGTGTCAGTGAAAGGATATGGGGAGAGATTCATGGTGGTATTCGCATTTAGAGCGGTGTGCATTTTTCTAATTTTGGCCGTTCCAGGGACCTTGATATTCCCGCTGGCACTAACGTCTTTTCATTGGCCACCGGGTAGCGCGGTCGATGCGAATAATAAAGACACACCTACCTACTGACTTGCCAACACCTGGCGTGGAGGGATACAGGGCGGAAACTCCATGGCATGCCACAACACCAGCATTTGCAAATGATCAACCAATGATCTGTCAGGACGCCTGTAGACCCAAAAGGGTTAAGGAGTGGGGGGGCGGTAAGACAGAGTTTCGAATACTGCTGTTTTTTGTTTTTTCCGACAAGGCGCAACGGGCAATACCATTCCTACTAACACAAGCATGTAGGGCCAGCTGCTCACCCAATTATTCTTTTATCGGTGCACGTGGGAGCCTTTTTTTCTGGACACCATGCTTCTCAGCTGCTGCTGCGGCACGATGGACCGATGGACCTGGACCCCACTAGCCTTCACTGCTGTCAACTCCGCAACTCTGTCAACTGCCTTTTGTACACCTCATGAGAGCACCAGCACAGCATTCTGCAGGTGCTATTTTTGCATGAAACCACTGCAGATGAAAAAATTCATGCACGAATACGACACATTGCACATGGGGCACAGGAGCACTCACCAGAACCCGACAGAGAGGAGTACCGGGCGCGCTCTCGGCGCCACTTCAATTGGAGGTTTGGAGTTTGGAGCCCAAAATGTCGGCTAGGGGTTTACGGCTGGTTTACGCGGCGTTACGGTTTTCCTCGGTGTTCCGCCACTTTCGTTGCTGCTGCTGGTTCTCGTGCGCTGCTTATCACGCTCCTCTGCTACGGCTGCTCAGCTACCACCTACACTCGCGAACACAGCTTAATGCGCAAGTGGGGGTTAATAGTTGCCGCGGGAACTCGATGCCGTGGATTTGTCTTGCCTACACAGAGTAGCCACGGTGTTGCCATGGCGACCGGGGATCCAGGTGAGTGAACAATCGATGCGACCTGCTGCCCAACGTGGGTGCCCTTGTCCCGCTCGCTCTCTCCCAACGCGCCCTTGATACCATGTGCAGTATCTTCTTACACCCGCCTTGCTTGTTGGGAAAGCCGCGGAGCTGCAATGAGGTGGTAATCTCCACACGTTGTAAGATGTGTACGGAGTACTACGGCTGTAGCTGCAAACAAAGTCTAGCTGCACATGATTCCCCGCCGCGTGCAACACGTGTGCACACCCACAGCGGCAATCAAGGGCTCTACTAACTCTCTGGTGTATCACATCCGCACGTAGGGTTAGGGCAGCAGCGCTTCGCGTATGCATATTGTCATGGCTTCCTCAGCGGACCAGGATCGATAAAAGGCCAGGCCCTACGCAAGTCTCTGCTCGAAGTGGATGTGGAGTTGTCGCTCTTGAATCTGAACGGCGGAAACGACCCGGGAGCCATCACATGCTCGGGAGCTGTGGAGGCGGTACGAGCGTTTCATCTGCAGCAAAAGTGTGCCCTGGGCGACCAAGGCCTCAAGTTACGGCTTGTCGGAAGTAGCCTTGGGGGTTTCGTCGTTGCAAGGTGCGCAAGTTGTGTGCTCCTTTTCCGATATACTACGACTGCTGTGTCTGGCGCCCAGTTTGTATTTTGTTTCCTCATATCTTTATGACACCTGCCTTTTCGCGTGTGGTTGACCACAACGATATCGGTCTTCGTCAGATACGCAGAGTTGTACCCTGAAGAGGTCGACCGGATCTTCATGCTCTGCCCCAGCTTCGGCTTGGGGACCAGAGCTGGCAAATTCGCGAGCGAAGCGGAGATGGCCGAGTGGGAGCGGACGGGAGCGAGAGGTACATATCGTTTCTGGTGTTCGCACGAAGCTGAGAAGGAAAGCACGGACACGTTGTTCTAAAGAGCCGTGAATCTCCACGTTCTTCCAAATCAGGTCACTGTTGTCTAGCCTAAGGCCTACTATTGTAGTGCACATCATGGCCGATAAGAAAATGGCCTTGCACCCTTCGCATGTCCATAACATACTTGGTACGTGCGCGGATTCGCGCCGTAAAGCTAAGCTAACAGCACATCTTTCCTTTGGTCGATGAAACGCCTTCTCTCGTGGGTCGTCCGCTCACAGTCTTTTCCTTATCAACCGGCGGGGAAGCAAGCGTCCCTTGGACCTTTGTCCAAGAAGCCAGGCTGCAACCCGACTACCCGGCCTACGCCTGTCCGGCGGCGATTGTGCACGGGCTGCAGGACGAAGTCGTGCCGGTAGCGGTGACCAAATCGCTCGTGGAGGGGAGGTGCGCCATGAAGCAGGGGGTGGTGTTCTGACCTCAGTATAGTGTCCTTCGTTACTTTGTCGACTGTGGACTTCATTTTTTCCCCGCAGTATTGTAGTGGCATAGCATTGGTGAGACTCCTCTCTCCTTCCCTGAACATTGCTGCCCTCACGTCGTGCGTGAAAGAACGTTGCGACGCTGCCGTAATACTAGGGGGGATCTGGCGGAATGCTCATTCGCGACTTTCGTGGAGGACGACCACGCACTCACCAAGCCCTCAACAATGGCCCTTACAGCCGAGGCGCTGGCTGATTTTTTCGAGCTGGACAGACGAGAGGTCGCAGAAGGAACTGAAGGGGCTGCGGCAGTTGACGACACCAACGGAAGGAGGGATCAATCTCCGCCCCAAAGAAGCATCGAAGTGAGAAAGAGGAGGGTTAGGTTTGCTGACGATGTGGTATAATGGTAGTCTCTCTGGGGGATCCTGACGAGATTCAGCACGCTGTTTTGTCTGCACCTCCTACTGGATTGCCGAACTACCTTATCTTCCACTTGTTGCTAGATCCTCCATGGAAGGCACGATGTTTTCCGGCAGTTCCCACTCGTTGGTTGTGACGCGACGCCGCTCTACAGGTGGAAGCCAAGTTTTCAGCGCATGATGTCGACAAGGTCAAGGTGAGATGATCCTCCGCGAGGAGCGCTGAGAAGAAGATCACTTGGAACAAGGGTTGCTTGTTGTGGGCTATAGGTCGTCGACTCGTATGTGACCATTTCTGTACTTGACGTCGCGTAGCAGCCGACGAAGCATCAGCGCATTTCAAGCAGTTCCACGGTCGTCACAGAGTGTTCAATACAAACAACAGCTGTGAGGCTCAGCGTCTGCTGTTGCGATCTGCTCTTCTCTCTGTCCTTACTTTCAAGCACATTTGATACACACGTCGTCTCAGGAAACGGTGCTGGCACGAGGAGGACACTTCGTGGGAGAGCAAGTCTTTACAGATGTGTATTGGGATGCGAAAGGCTGCGGGCTGACGGAGATAGATTGGTGGCTCCGAAGCCGTGCCGGTCGATGGGAGCTCAAGGTAAAGTGGAAGGAATTGTAGTGGAATATCGGTTTCCAACGATGTTCGCTTAGAGCAGGCGGTACGCACCTCCTCCGACGACCTACCGATCGTGATTGTAAATTATTATGACTGTTCACGGCAGCTTGATCCCAAACCAAATCTTGGCCTGTGTCCTTCCAGGTACCAGCGGCTGACGTGGGCGAAGGGGTTACTGCGTACAGAGAGGTGACGGCACCTTCGGAAATCGCGAGAGAGCTACGAGAGGCAGGGTTTCTTGAAGAGTTGAAATCGCACCACCTTCACGAGTCTCGCCTCGACAAACGGGTGCTGGAAGCTGCGGGTTTCGAAGCCTTCGCTTCTCTCCGCACCAATAGACTGAAATACCGGTATGTGGCATGCCAGGAGGATGGCCGGGTGTAGCTTTTGTTTCTGCTGTTAGGAACCTGATGAGAACGCGCGCTCCGGCTTGATGCAAATAACCACGTTGTGCGCGTACATGATGGCGAACCTTGGATATTGGGTAGTCACGCAAATGCTTCACGCATTATTCCGCCACCATAGGATATCATGAGCGAGGCATGCCACTGCGTCATTCGTGTACCTATGCTCACGCAGGTTGGGTGTATTTGCCGTGGACATCGACCGAGCATCTGGTCGCCAGGTAGAGTTTGGTCATGAAGTGGTGGAGATCGAGAGGATATCAAAAGAGTCGGACGTTTTGTCTGCCAGAGATAGCATAACAGCTTTGGCGCGCTCTCTTGGTGCTCGACGCGAAGGCGAGTCTGGCCGCCCTGTCAAGGTAAGACGCGTTTCCTCAGCGTTTCGTTCATGTTAATTGTTTAGCCCGGGAAAAACTACGATTGTTGAGAATGATGTGCAAGATTGAAACGCGGTAATCGCAACGCGAGACGGTCTGTGCTGTGTGACCGCTGCCACACAACTAAAAATCTGAGCTTGACAGGTGTTTGCCTGGTCGCTGATACACCTGACTGAAATTTTGGCGTGGTAGTGGTGCGTGGGGATCATGTTTTGGACAGAGCGTATGCAAATAGTACCACTGTCTTTGCATGTTGTGCATGCCTGGATTTCCTCGTATACTGGCTTTGTAGTCTGAAACTTTCTCTCACCTCCAGGGTGTGGAATGGAGTTGACCTGATCGGCGAAAATTATGTCCGACGGTTAGCACTCCCAGGCTTCATAGGAATGTGAGGATACCGTTTATACAGGAGGTATTCTATTACCTTTGCAGGATATTTTTCATGTCTTCTCGCATTGCCACTTCCAAAGGATGATACGATCTACTTTTTTGCTTTCGGGTTTGCCCTTGCCTCTCTCTGCTTTTGCCTTTGGTATTTATTTAGGTCGAGGGGTCTACACTTCTCTTCTTGCTGTATTGCTCATTCTTTTTCTTCACGTTATGCGCCACCGGTTGGAGTAAACGGCATGTGCTGTGAGCGCTGATTTGAAGTGAAGACAAAAAAAAAAATGCATACGAACTTTTTTTGTCCGTCAAGAGTAGGAAGGTGATAGGAGCTTCAATTTTCAGAAAACCACAGCAGCGACGATATCGGAGCAACGACAATTGTGATCGTCGTACTGATGGAAACCTTGTGATAGTTGTTACGGAATCCATTATTTCATGCGTGTGGACTCGGGGAGGACGGGGTACGGTTCATACTTCATGTTAGAGAAGGAATTCGTGAGCTCGGTATGATCTCAAGGCTCTGGTCGGTCAACTGTGTTACATATCTTTCAAGGCATCTGAGTGTGTACAATCGGGCCTCAATCTGTGTTCTTTGCGACGCCAGGGCAAGCTGGTGGAATACATCATCAGGAATTGCCCGCGGCAGCTGGAAGTTCTAGCAAGGTAAGCCTTGCGAATATGTTGCGATTGGTTCGCTTGGCACTCAATTGGGGGGCATGTTTGTGGAACAAATGATGAGCACACCGTACCAGTAGACTGATTGGCAGGGCGTTCGGACGCGAGACACTGCAACATCCAACCACGTGCCTTGCACGGCCCAATAGTGCTCACGCCCATTCCTGCGCCTCGTATCCACCCTGATGGTTCCCGCTTTGCTCATCTTGCAACCAAGTACAAATCCGTGCATTTGCATTCGTTACTGAAACATTCACCTCAGGCAAAGAGCTGTTTGAAACGTGCAAGGCAGGGTGTGACACCGGGGAGCATGTGCGTTTGGCTGGTGTTCTCTTCAGCCCGGACCTGAGGAGAGCAAACACGCTTGCCGCAGTACAGGTTTCTATGGTCCCGCCACCTTTCGTGGGCACTGCGTGAAGTCGGCGAGATATTGTTGGTTACGTCAAGCCCTTTGTTGTCTCTCCCCGTGGGAATGAATGCTTCGTTTGATTCTGCCAGAGTGAGGACAGCACGTATTCATGGTCTGAAGAGCCGGAGGAAGTTCGCTCATGTCTCGTGGATCCGTAGGCTCCAGTCTTTCCAAGTGGCGACTCTCCGCGAACTTTGGATCTACACGAGCATTGGTTAGATTCCTTGAGAGAAATTTGGCCATTGTGCGGGACTCGTCTTGTCGCCGCGTTTGTCGCGGAAACGACACAGTGGGACCTCTGGTGGCCATGGTCCTGTTGCCCAAATCATCAGGGATGTCCTTGTTGTATGCATACAGCCCAGCAGCAGCGCTTGTTGTACTGGAGGAGAGTGGGACTCTGCAGAATATCTGCCTCACTTGTTGAGTGTTAATCCACCACCAGGTTGTGAGCTTGCGTCTTCCAAGGGTTACATGCGAGAAGTCAGTTTTTGCATACCTTTCCAACTTCTCTCCGAAGTTAAAGGTAGCCGAGTCTGCACGTGTCTGAATTGAATAAGCAAGCTTGCCCCCCGCGAACAATGCTCGCCCGGCATGGTTGGGACTTCTTGCGCGCCGAAATCCCCCTTGCCATGAGCTTCATCAACAATTGCGTTCGCCCAGGGGTTTCCCTGTATCTCAAGGCGGCACGCCTGGCCAAAGGTAGGGACATACTTTGGGCTGCACCTCCAATCCGTCCAGCAGATGAGTTGATGTCAATTTTTCTCCAAGAACTAAGTGGTCTCAGATCTTCAGCATCACAAGCGGCTCAACCGCCGTATCTTCCCAGTCCTCGAGATGGTTGCATTTTTGCCCATATTTGCAACGCAACGATTCACGCACACACAGTCACCCGGTCAAGCTTCTTAATATGCATGCACACATATGTCTGGGCAGAAACTCACGATGCAAATCATAGCTGCCTGTAAGGCAGCCGGTGCTTTCGAGGGCTACAGCAAAAGTGGTGCGAAGTATAAACTAAAAAATACAAGGGAGGTTTCTTCGGATCAACCACGTCATCAAACGTTCGGTAGAATTATCCCACTTCTATACGACGTACATCCGACAACACGGGAAGTGGAGTTCCACCATAAGGCTATGGCATGCGAAACTTATGTAACGCGAAGGTCCCTGACCCTACTTGTAATGACAACGGCGGACATGCCGTTAGACTTCTCAAAAGTCGAAATTCCAGCGCGTAGAAGGGAGCACGGCTCCCAGCGAAGGCCACATTGTGCTGTTGCACGTGTGACAAGCGCACATCCCACTAGAGCTTAATATCGAGGTCATCAGACCTTGACCCCAAGTCTCTGCGATGCCGCTAGTCGTAGGATTTTTCTACGAAGGATCGCCTTCGACACTCTGGTGCACAACGGTCCAGGTAAATGTGGGAAATCTCGTCAATTGTCTCCTTTCGTACATCGGTCCAATAACACTGCTTTGACGCCGGCAAGCTGGCCCATCATCCTTTACGCCGTCCTCTTGTCTCTACGTGTCGGCCATTTGAGTAGAGGTTGACCTTCAACTGCTCCTTCGACAAACGCATGCACGAAGCACCGCGCTTATGCGGATATCAAGGTGACTCCCGATGGGTCGTCGACAAACCCGTGCTGGAAGTTGCGAAGCCGTCTCGACCTTTCACCCACGCCCTCTCGTTCCATATTCAATTGCCCGGCTAGCGCCTACGGCCATCCGTCATCCTGCCAAACTGAAAATTTGTTCGTCGTAGGGTCCATCATGAACAAGCGTGCATGCAGATGGGGGGCAGATGCGAAAGAAGACAGCAGGGTGCGTTGTCAGGCATTCATATCGTATTCGGTTGACGGCCGGTTGCTGTGTTTGACCTCGAAGCCAGTCTCAATCATCACTCAATACATCTGTAACAAAACAGAGAGCCAAGCACGTGTGCGACTTGACAAAGTACGGCAAGGCCAAACGGTGACGACGTGCGCAAACAGAACAGGGCCAGCCAACTTCGCTGAAATTTCCGGGAAATTTAAAGGTTTTTTCCTTTGCACCATGCCGAAACCTCACAGTTTTTGGGAATCCTTCCTTTGCAAAATCCACCTCGCGAATGGGAGCGCCACTAGTTCTCTGCTGCAACGTGACAACAGGACGTGGCCTCCTCATTTTGGCCGGAGGTTCGTCAACGCCGTGACAGTCGTAGTCGCACTCACACGAACGAAAGTCATGTATGTTGTCGCGTAGCCAACTGCCCAATTGAGGACATTCATCATGCTCCAACGGCGTAAGTCCCCTTATCCGCCTGACCCTGCTCTGCTTCACAACACATCGTCGCAGCCATTTTTTCCCTCTCACCTTAAGTTCAGTAGAGGTGATTCAGCGCCCCCTAGAACTCAGGTTCGTCGAAATTGTTGTGGAGCCCACTACCCGCATCGTTACCCGCGTCCTCCATAGCATGGGTCTTCAAGAATATGTCTTTCCTTCTCATCCGGTTTCGTAGAGCTTGTGCCGGGTCTGGGTGGTAAAAACAGATGTTCGAAGAATGAGTTTTTCGCTTCGCCTTGCACGCTGGATTGGTACACGGCAGTACGTTGTCGGGAACTGGCTGCCGCCGCCGGTGGGGCTGAGATGGACGACGCTGGGCACGGGCATGATGGCCTTCTTGCTTGTTCCGCGAAGGGGTCTGGTCTTCTTGCCTGTCCCGCTTGCGGCCCTGGTCTTCTTGCCAATCCCGCGTTCGCTTTTGAGACTTCTTGCCTCGCGACCCACGGCTGCGATCGTGTTTGACCTCACCACCATCGCCCCACTCCCCAGATCCTCCAGGCACTACTTGTTCTTCCGGCTCTTCTTGCCAAGCAGGGGTGGATCGGGACTCATCGTCAGACAAGATGCTCTCGGCCCTTTCCCGGTCTCCACCGCCGTTTCGGTCTGCACTTCTCCCGTGTCCGGTTTGGAAGCTCCCCACAGCAACAGTTTCGCCTTCAACGTCACCTGGCACGGTAAGCGGACCCCTGACCACAGAAGGAGACCGGGCATGCGCTGCCCCCTTCAAGCCACCCCAGCCGTGCACCAGTTCCTTCCCATCTCCTACGTCACTGTTGCGCTGCGTTTTACTACCGTGCTGAAGTCGATCACCCTCACGTCCCTCTCCTGCGCCTCCTCCACCAAGTTTTTTCTCTGTCTTCCCGTGTGGGGGCTGGAAGCCCCCTACAACAGGAGCCACGTCTTCAAAGGTACCCGACAAGGTCAGCGGACCCCTGGCCAACGATGAAGAAGACCCGACAAGCGCTGGTCCTTTCGAACCATCTGAACTTTGCACCCCTCCCTTCCCCTCTCCCACACCACTGCTGCCGCCCTGCGGTTTCGTGCCGAGGCGAAGTCGATTGTCCTCTGGCGGACGCTCTCCACCGCCACCTCCTTCGCCAGCATCATTCCTTCTCTTACTCTTCTCCTTCTCCAATCTTAGAGCGTTACGATCTGCACGGTCAACACTTTCCTGAAAAGTCGGGCACGGAGGCTCCGCGTGCTGAAGCCGCTGCAGGTCGGCGCGGAGCGCTCTCTCGAACAACCGTATCATGATTGCTTCCCAAAAAGTTGTCTGCCCCCCGTTGGCTTCAATTAACCGGCTCAAGTGATTGGTCAGGCCCATTTGTCGCTGGACCAACGTCGGGACGGATTCGTCTGCAGCTTGGCGAAGTGAAAATAGTGTGTCTGATGTCCGTGCGATGCCATCCGCCGGCAGATAGTGGTCGTGGAAAGCATTGTAGACTTCAGCCCAGGTCGACGGGGGCCGGAAAGGTGGCTTTCCTGGTTGTTGCTGAACGCCCCCTGCTCCCGCCTCTGCCCCCCGCTGCTGGAGGGAGGGAGGCGGGGTAGGTTCCCACTCTATCTGTCCTGCTTTCAGCAATTTGAAGAACTTCAGGGCTGCACCCTCCAAGACAAACACGACATCTCGGTTCAGAGCCTTATTCACTGTGCCAGGCGAGCTGCCAGGCAGGGCCGCGACGACAAGGGAGTGGAATCTGTTGAGCACGTCGGACACAGCACCAGGATCCTTGCCGCTAAATTTCGTCAATTTCTCGATGCCAGGCGGGAGGATTCTCCTAGGACGAGAGTCAACAACACCAACACTAGCACCACCACCAGCAGATGATCCACCAACTGGATCCACTTCGCCCTCCGGTGCCATCTTGCTGAGCGTTTCCAAAGCCAAAAGCCCGGCATGGTCAAGCTCACCCTTTGCGGCGAGTTTCTGCGAAACGAGTTTTTGGAGCTGCTCGCGGAGAGTCATTGGCTGTTGCTGCTGCTGCGTAGGCCAACTTTTCTCACCGGGGTGCGGCTTTCCGCCCTCTGTGTGTGCGGGCACCGTGGCTGCGTTCTGCTGTGTCACGGGTGCGGGCGGGTCTTCGCTGGCGATCTCGTTACCCATAATCCTTCTGTTGTTGCTGCTGGTGCTGCTGCTGCTGTTGATCGCCCTCGCCGATTGCTCTTCATCTAGCAGCGCTTGCACCTCGGGCACCGCCGCCGCCGCGGTCTTGCTACTGCTGCTGCTGCTGCTGCCTGTAGCCTCCTCTTCTTTGACACTTTTCTCACGGCGAACCCTTTCCTCAGACATGGGGGGAGCTACAGGAGGATGTGCAGTTGATAATGCGGGTGTAGGGAGGCGTGATGAGTGGCGAGTCCCGCCGTCCACTTCAAGGAAGAGCGTGGCAGGTGCACAAGAAACACACTAATATCTGCTGTTGTGAGCGAAATGCACTGCTGCCGACAGACCCCCCCAAGAAACAATTCACGGAGCTTCTTCTTTTTTTATTACGCCGCATTTTCGGCACACAACAGCACAAACTCACAAACTCAAACTCTGCGTCTCTCCCGTTAGCATCCTTATCCAGCAGGCAGGCAGCAGGGTTTTCTCATCACTCACCCTAAAGACATCAATACGTCTCTTCGGCTGGGGCATTATCTCGAGCGGTAGTCGCCTGTGCTTATGTGTATATTTTCCGAGAGGTCAATTTTCTCCTGTAAAAAGAGGTCGGCAATTGGAATGGTGGAGCACAACTTGAAGTACTAGTCTATGCATAGAGTAAACCCGGGTACCAAGGAACACCCCCCATTAAGGAACACTTGTTTTCAACGGACTTATCCCGCTATTGACTTGCGAACCCCTCGGGGCCATTTTATATGAGTGGACCATTTTAGGGTAAGTTACCTAACCCTAAGTTAGGTCCGTTTTATACATGAAAAAAAATTGTACAAATTTGGTACAAAATTTGGGTCCAAATATTTGGAACCAACATCTTCATTTTTTTATTTTTTATTTTTCCAAATACAACACAACGAGTCCATCTCCGTCAGAGAAAAGAGTCAAAGACAGATTAGCAATGGAATCATAGCGTCAACATCTTCATTTTTTTATTTTTTATTTTTCCAAATACAACACAACGAGTCCATCTCCGTCAGAGAAAAGAGTCAAAGACAGATTAGCAATGGAATCATAGCGTCAAAGAAAACTACCTGTTGTGTGTATCTTCATTTTTTGCATTTTTTACATGCTGCAGCTGGTCTCCAAATTTTCAATACTATCTCGCCGCTTGCCTGGTGCCAACGAGCACAACACACACATACTCAACACCTTCGCCGTCAACACCTCCACAACCAAGACACCATGGCAGACAGCACAAAGGGACGGGCTACTGGTCGCCGG